TGCCTAGTTCATCTCCTGAAAAGGTCAGTTTTAAAATTCACTTTGTCTAGAATACCATTTATGACAGCCAGTCAAATGTTTTTGGAGCTTTACAATGCAAACATGTTCAGTGGATATTCAGAGGTATAACAAAATATTTCAATGTGGAATATTTCCTGTTTGAGACTCTAGCACTTTCATGTCATTACCTTTTGGTTTTCTGATTTTTTTCTTCCAGTATTTTGTTCTGTGGATGCCAAGCATGCTTAGTGGTTGCTGGCCAAGATTCGGGGAGAAGGAAAATGGTCCCTCTTAGGATTTCTCCTTAAAAGTTCACTTCTACAAAATTTGGGGTTCACTCAAGCCCACTTAGAATTCCCTCTGATACTATTTTTGCTCTAGAAATATTGGGGCCCGTAGCCTTTTCCCAGAAAGAGAGGAAGGTATACTGCTTCTAGATATAGAGAGTCTGTTTACCTATCAGGGTTAATGAACATTGATAGCTCTTGTCTAATTCTAAAGCCACAGGGTGCTTTGCTTGTGTACGGCTTAGCATGTTGTATGGTCCCAGCCAGTGTGGTTTGTAAGCCCTGGTTTATGATTTAGTCTGTTGTATAAACCTGGAAAATTGTGGTTTATTCAGTAAACCATGATCAAGCAAACTATAGCATATCATACTTTGTGAGCCCAGCCTTTCTGTTGCATGAATAAATACTTTCCTGTCATCTTCAATCCTCCAGCTAACTTTCCCAGTGTTATAAAGTTGTGTGAAATCTTAGCTGCTTCACATGTTCTGACTGCTGATCTTTTGTTTGGATTTTAGGTGCAGCAGATACCTACAGAGAATATTCACAAGTAAAATTTGTGGTATTGTAATGTCTGCATGTGTGTGTTCTAAAAAAACCTTTCATAATATGAACAGATTCATTTTATTAAGTCATACTTGACATTTTGTTTAGATAACCGAAGTGTTTGGGGTGAAACTGATTTGCTTGCTTTCTGTGCAAAAGAATGGAAAGAAGAAACAGAACAGGCAAAACAAATGAGAGAGGTGAGCTGCCAAGCACAAAACTGAGTTGTTTTCTGTGACTGGACAAACAAAATGTCTTCCATGTTAGGGCAACAGTGACATCTCAGATATCAGACTGAAAGTTGCTATTTGCAATCATAACCCAATCTTGTCTTCTATACTGAAATTATATGTTAACCTCAAAACTATTTTCAAAATGGGGAGAAAAATGTATACGTGTTGAAATGCAGTCTTAACACTGAAGATTAAAATATTAATTCATCTTGTGTACTGTTTAGAGTGCTTGACTGGAACAGGTGAGTCCTGTTCAATTTCCCATTCAGCGATGTAGCACGCTTGGCATAGTTACCATCTCTAGATAGTAATTGGCATAGTTATGATAGATTGATAATCTATCAAAAATGATAGATTTTGGCATAGTTACCATCTCTCAGCTCAATGTACCTCACAGGATTCTCATTTTGCGGATAAAAAGGAGGGATGATTCCATGTACATTGCCACAAGCTAAGAAATAATTAAAGATTGGTAGTCATATTTTTCTTTAGTTATAAAATTAAGTTTAGACCTGGGAAGATCTAAGGTACTTTAAGCTATGACAGGTTTGATGAAATTAGGATAATTATAGATTTCTTACTTTATAGTAGTTAGAATAAAGAACAGTTTTCCAAGATCCCTAATTTAGTTTAAACCAAAGAGAATGTTTTTCTGCTCATATTTATTTATTTGGCCATTTGTTAGATTTATAGGCAGTCTTTCTTCCAAGAATTAAAGTATCCTGTGAAGTAGGTTGGGCTTAAATAAGTGAGATTCCGTGGGTGAATAATAAGTAGGGGTAGCTTCTAGAACAATTAAGTAAACTTGTTTTATTTTTAGTGATCTTCTAAGGTCTCCCTGAATTAATACTGAGATTGCCCTCCTGTGTCCCAGTAAGGTTTTGACTGTGTTCCTGTTGGCATTCCCCAGTTTAATTTTCTGTTTTTGTTTAATTTATTCTGACTTACTACATACTAACCTTGTGAAAATAATTAATTGGGAATTGCTTTGTGAGCTGGTATCATGGCGTGAAAAGTGTGTAATTTTCTAAATTCATTAACTGAGCAGTTTGAAAGGGAACATGATGTTAACTGATAAATATTTTTCCTACTGTTAATTAAAGGACTGTTTGCTACACTGTACATCTTTTTACATCTGAAATCATCAGCAGAGGCTAACATTAACAACAGGGGTATATTAAAAGGGGGTGACATAGGGTACAGCCTAATCAGGAGAATAGTTAAAGTTTGGAATTCCTTTCCCTAGGACATTACGAACATTGTAATACTCTTTGAAAATGTTTTTTTGTTCAGAGCCATTTTTCCTTGTTTTTGAAAATGTACTGCTGCCTTTCTGTTTTGGTTTGTTGCTCAGGTTTTATGAATCCTTTTATATATCTGTAGTATATGGATGAGGTATTTTGCTATTCTGGATTTTAATTTGAATACTGCCTCGAAAAATCTGTTTGGAGAAAAGTAGTATTAAATAAATCACTTTAAGGCTGATCTCTTGGACAAGCAAATCACTAATGTTAATAATCCCTGACCTATCCATTAGTCTGACCTGCAGGCCTTAGGATCACTGACTATGACTACAGCACAGTAGTTGAACTCCACTAGTGAAATAATTCCCAATACTTTTGTTCCCATGTTTTCAAGTCTTGAGGCAAATTGAGTTTACATTCTGATCTAGACCCTATATACAGTAGATGCTAACCACATGTGACCTGTTCAGCTTCCATTTCCAAACAGAGAAGCCTGCTTCAGGTTCCAGAAAAACTCAGTATTTCTTCCTATTCAGTATCCATAAGGAAAGATCCCCTCCCCCAAATGGAACATATCTAAGTAGCTCTGAAGCTGTACACAAATTAATTTAAATATAATCTCTTGTGAAGCTCTCCTGCAGTCTTCACTGAATTCAAACGTGCAGTGCCACAAACAAAAAGTATCTTGCAGTTCCACCAGCTCTGATGTATATTCATTTACAGGTAGTCCTCAACTTACAACCATTTGCTTAGCAATCATTTGAAGTTCAAAGTGATTTGCAACTGGTCCTCGCACTTATGATCGTTGCGGCATCCCCACAGTCAAAATTTGGGTGCTTGGCAACCGGCATGTATTTACGATGGTTGCAGCATCCCAGAGTCACATGATCACCATTTGCAACCTTCCGATCCAGCTTCCGACAAGCAAAATCAATGGGGAACCGTATGATTCACTTAACAATTGCTGCAAAAAATGTTGTAAAATTGGGTGCATGATGCCTTAATTAATGACTGCACCGCTTAATGATGAATTTTCTGGGTCCTACTGTCATAAGTTGAGGACTACCTGTAATAATCTCTGTAGCTTTCCATTTGCTCTTAATGGTGCCCAGTTAACTAATCCAGGGTATTAGTTTTGGTTCCAGGGTTGCATCAGGCTTTATGTGGTATGTCAAGAACTGTATTCCAAATGTAAGCAGAGTCATGGATCTTTTGGAAGAGTTGGGAATTTAAAGAGGAAACACTGATGCTTTAAGTGTCCTTGCAGCAACTATTTTGCTCCTTAAACCCACCCAAAGGCAAAATAAAAGGGCCAAATATTTTGGTTCCATCTATCCTGGGGGGTTCTGCAGGCCACAAAAAGGATGCTGTGGGCCACATATGGCCATATGACCTAAGCTTTACTCTTTGGGCGGCTTTTATGTTCTCCATTAGAATTATTATTAAACTATTGTTCTGACTAGTCATTTGTCTCACCTATCTCTTTTTTTTTCAAAGACTTACAAAACATTATTTTGGAGGTACCATGTGAAATATATAAGACAAGTCAGTGGAGATAAGTACTGTTTGCTGAGAGCTGTGTTATTCCAGATATTCAGCCAAGGTCTTCCTCTTCCATCATGGACAAAGGCAACAGATATACTAAAGGTAAGTCACAAAATAAATTATGATCTACCAGAAAAAAAAATGTTTTCTGAATTTTAGGTTTTTAAAGGCACTATTTATAAAAGTGGAGACAACTTTGAGGTCAAGTATAGCAGAATTGTACTAATGTAATCTACCTCCCAGTTTTTCAGAAAAAGAACTTGATATAAACTGGAAGCATTGGAAGCAAATACTCACTTTGAAACATTAGAATGAGGAGGCATGGGTGAATTGTACTTGTTCTCCCCATGCTTCTAGCTTTCATCTAAATGATTCAGGCTATCCTAATTTCCTGTTGAACTTCTCCACTGAAGAACCGGTTGTGCTCTTCTTTTTCAGCTCCCTGAAAAGCTGCTTTATTCACAAGGTTGTAACTGGATCCAACAGTACAGCTTTGGACCACAACAGTATACAGGCTCAAATACATTAGGAAAATTACGTAAATGTATTGAAGCATTAAAAGGACAGGTAAGTGGGTAGATATTAAGGGATAAATGAAATTTTAAAGGAAAGTAGCTTACTGGTGCTGTAACTGCCATTAGTTAGTAAAATATTAGGATTAATTTTCCATTAGCATAAGCAGCAAACTAAAACTCAGGTCAACCAATCAATATATGGCCATGCAAGCATATAAATATTAAAGGCAACATTTTAAATGCTAACTTTTTAAATGTATGTAGTGTGACTTAGAATATATTTTACAATTAGTTTATTTTGCAAGATATTCCCTTTCTTACCTGCTTCTATAATCGGGAGTGAACATTTCTTTCAGTATCTCAGAAAAGCATTGTGGTTTTGATAATTTACAGATATATTTACTTTATATGTGGTTAAAAATAGTTGGCTTTGCCCCCCCCCCCAAACTTCTTAAAAGTGTAGTGTTGTCTTACTAATATATAACGTCTCTTGAAGTGTAACTCTTCAAGGGAATGATATTGCTTGGTGAATTGACTGCATTATACATAGCAACCTTTCATATCTATGAAGCACTCCATCAACTGGTGGAATATTCCTATTCAGAACACCAGCCATTCATTCATTTCCTCTTTCTGGATGTCATATTCCATTCTTTTTTCTCTCCATTTTTATTTTCACACCCTCTCTAAAATAACCAGTCAGTTTCCTCAGTCCTCACTGAGCTGTTCTAGGAATATTTTCATCTAGAAATTCTTTCCTCCAGATTGGTTCTTACAGGGGCCTCAACCTACTAATGCCTACCTCTTGTATGCAGATCCATTTTGCTGTGAGTAGATAGATACCACAAATATTTTCACCAAAATAAAACAACCATTTAACACAGATCCAAAGAGCTAATTTTTTTCTTGTCCTATTCTCTTTTGTAGTGGGTGGAAATCAGTGGTATTAAAGACCAATCTCAAAGACAGCATCTTTGCAATGCCATTTTTACTGATCGAAGTATGGAACATAAGTTCTATGAGGCCATAAAATTCATCATGCTCTATCAAGTAATAGAAGCTTATGAATGCCTGGCCAGTAATCAGGAATGCGTTCCAAGTTTTTTTAGTGATCTTTTTAGACGTGATACTTCTTTGGATCCTTTAAGTTACATGATGAATCATCTGAATTCAATAGGGGACAGAAGAGGTCTTGATCAGGTAAATATGTGAATGCAAAACAAAATTTAATAATTCCATGGCATTAAAAAAAAATTAGGAGGCTTGAATTGGTGGTTGCGTTCATTAGATTTATTTCTGTGCTGTCCATTAGGCTAAGATTTTATGGAGTATTGTAAATCAAAGGGCTTAATAGGCAATCGGTTTTCTGTTTCTGCTTTTTTTTTGCAAGTTTTCTTTATTTGTAGTTTTTCATACAGAAGGAAAAAGTTATGGAAGGGATTGAACTTACATCTCCTGAGCACACTCCAGTTTTGTCTGTTTGATACTAGAGACAGGCCTTTTTATTCTCAGTGGCCTTTTATGCTTAATTTTCTCCACTTCTGTGTTCTGTGGGGTATTCAGTAATTTTATATTTGCTGTTTTTAGTTTTTGCCACTTTCAGTGGATTGTTTTAAATGACTTTTTTGTTTGTGGGGGAGTGGGAGTGGTCGTCATCCTGCCCATTAATTTTAGAAATACCTGATATGTGACAAATATATTAACATGATTGGCCATACCTTTTTTTCTCACGGCTCTCTGCTTGTGTATTTTGTCAGATTTTTCTATTGATTTTAAAGGTGTGGCTTAGTGCAAATTTTTATCACTCCAGTTTGGAGAATATATTGCCTGAAACAGGAGGGGTCTGGCATAGTCCAGAGGGAAATGGAATACTGTACTTCTTCCTGGATCAACATGTTTTATGGGCTGATGTACTTCAGAAGCTAAGATATGTACACATACACACTAGTTTATGGGGAAAACAAGAGTAGCCAAAGCAACCATGATAATTATGAATTAATTTACATAGATTGTACATGTATAACTTCTCTTTTCTATAGACTGTGAGTTTTGCTTTTTTTCCTCCACAGATTGATCTATTTCTCCTAGGACATTCTCTTGAAATAAAAATAATAGTTTATAGGTTGTGTAAGATTAATACAGAAGATTTTCTAGAAACCTACACAGAAGACTATCAGAGGGATTGGCATGAGGTCCTCCTTCTTACTGAAGACGACCGTCATTATCACATCCCTGTTGTTAAGATATGACTATTGAGGCTGACAAATATTTCCACATCAAATCCCCTCTGAAGAAATTTGTTCAGATGAATGGCATGCTGCATTTAAGAAATACCTCTGCTAAATAGAAATGTGTATGAAACAGATCGGCCAGGCCATTTTTCAGCTGAATCTACTCCCAGAATTTTTGTTTTTGTAAGGAGTAAAGTGATGAAATCATATATGTCAAAGTGAAATTCTCAGTAGCAATATGTTGAAGGATCTAGCTTATGGTATAACCTGGATATTATAATGCCAATTGACACAAGATTGCATCTTAAGATCCATTTGTATTAGGGACAAAAGCATCACAAACGTTAGTAATTCCTTCACCTCCAAGAAACTCTTATTCTGAGGCAAAAGTGACTGAGGGATCTCTAACAAAGAATGTTCCACATCTTCACCATCTCCCAGTTTACCTAAAGAATTCAGCAAACTATAATGTAAAATGTGTACATAAGTAATGTAAATTGTAACATTGGAACACTTTTGAAGACTACACTTGGTCTGTGGAGATTAGATAGATGGGGGGGTGTTCATACACAACATTAAGCTATAAGTTGGTTTGTTTCTTTTTTAGCTTAGTGTGATAACTTACAAACTACAGTGGACAGAGTAACACATTACCATAAATCTGACAACAAACTAAGCACATTATCTGATTTGTTCTTATAGCAATAGAGGGGCTATACAGTAACTTCTGGACTCAGTCTTAGAAACTTAGGTCTTTGCACAAAAGTTATCCTATCAGTTGCTTAAGAAATCTTCAAAAATTACTTAAAACTAATTATTTTACTAATAAATATCCTATCATATAATTTATCATATGATGCAAAAGCAAACTTAAGCATATCATATTCATATTGTACTTATTGTACTTATTATATCTAATCAGTTTCTCAGTCAAGAAGTTAGTGATTTTTATTGTTGTAACAAACTTTTACTGTCTGTAGAATATAATCAGCCAAATCACTTTTGCAAAATTGCCATATTGTTGCATTTTTGTCCAAAATATTTCAATATAGCATGTATATCAGTAAGTATAATTGAGACCACTGTACTTGCCAGAGCTATGTAAAACTCTACAGCTAGTCCTCACTTAACAACCACAATAGGGACTAGAAAATTGGCTGTTAAGCAAGGCGTTCATTAAGCAAGTCATCACGTGACCAGACCCAATTTTACGACCATTTTTACAACTTGTTAACCAAATCACATGGTCATTAAGCGAATCACATGGTCATTAAGTGAATCATGTGGTCGTTCAGCAAATCGTTTCCCCAGTGGATGTTTTTTGCCAGAATTTGCTAAATGACCACGTAATTCGCTTAACGATGTGATTCACTTAATGACCATCGTAAAAAAGGTTGCAAATCATGATCACATGACTGCAAGTGGTGTGATGGTTTGCGATGGTCATAAGTGTGAGTACAGGTTGTAAAGCACTTTTTTTAAGGCTGTTGTAACTCTGAACCATCGTTAAATGAATGGCCGTTAAGCGAGAACTACCTATATTGCTTTAATAATATATTATCTGCATAATTCTACAACTTGCATTGTTCCACATCATTTATTTGCTTAATGATCTATGGGTTGTGCAGTCACTGAAACCATAACCTCAGCTAAGGTTTTCATACAATACACACAAACTAGCTAAGCACAGTTTGGCCCAGTGTGTTGTGTGAGTCCAGCCCATGTGGTTCATGTAAGTTAAGTGAATCATGCCAACACAGAACACTGTACTGAGTGGACCACAGTACAATAAACCAAATATGTTTTGTGCGAACATAGTCAGAGTCTCTTATTTTTTATGGAGTATTATCCAGATCCCTTGAAACTAATGTTTACTGCCCAAAGGATTAGATAATAGTCCTGATTTCTGTGTCTAGAGCCATTTTCTACATCAGCCTCCCTTGCTTGTAGCCATTGAAAAGCGTTTTGGTACTATTCCTATAATCTCTCACCAAATGGTCAGATCTGGATGATGGTGATGGAACTATAGTCTAACATGCCCAAAAATAAGGTGGGAAAAGTTATTCTATACTTTCTGTACTTTTGTAGAATTACAGCGTACATATAGTCATTTTGCAATGTCCTGGAGCGCATTTTATGATCTAAATTTTGGTTTTATATTGTTTGGTCATTCTGATTTTATAACAGACTTTAATGATTTGCTGCTTCCCGTGCGTCTTTGAAAGGCATTTGTAAATCACTCAGTCTCAATCTCAGTATTGTTTAATGTTAAGAATAAATGATTGAGCACCATGTGCTTTTGAGAACAGAAGCTGGACTCATTATGTTGTGATTTTTTTTTCATGTGCAATTCCTATTCTTTAGTGTGTCTGCAAGAAAACCCTAAGACCAACTTGAGTCACCAGTTACTATAACTGGGTTCTAAAGGTTACATTGATTTTGATGTCTTCTGTGCTTTTCAAAGGGTTTCCCATTTGCTTTTATAAATGTATTTAAACAAAATAATTTGCCATCATCCTTATTAAGTTCGTGCTCTATTTCTTTTTCTCTTGATTGTTTGTATGTTTTGTTACTATACATTCTGATAAAAGTCTGCATAAAACTTAAACCAAAGAAAGGGAGAATTTTAATGACTTTTATAGTTTGCTTCTTCCTGAAGACATGAGATAAAACACAGGCATTAATTTATCATCTAACGAATTTGTTAGAAAGCTTAAACCAAGGCAGGGGTAAATGCTCAATATTATTAATTTCATGCCTAGCTCACTTGGCAATAGTAAAAATTACCACTCTCAAAAAACTAATTTGTAAGTCTTCATTTCAGGATTCCTTAGGAGAAAGCAAGAAACAGATGCTTGGACCTAGTTCCAAACATGTTCGCTGAGTACAAGTAGTCCTTGAGTTATGACTGCAATTGGGATCAGGATTGCTGTTGCTAAGCAATGTGGTTGTAAAGTGCAACTTCACGTGACTGTATCACTTAGCAATGGCAATCCAGGCAGTCCCAGTTGTTGTAACCCAAGGAGCGCCAGCCATTAAATGGGAAGCGGAGGGAGTCCCTGGTAAGGAGTGCAGGGGTGCTGCAGGGGGGTGGGGGAGGCCCGGCGTGGGCTGCACATGAGTTGGGGGGGTGCTCAGTGCAGTGCAAGCTCAGAAAGGCTGGGCAATGAAGGCATGGGTGCATGTGATTGCAGGGAGGCCAGAGAAAGAGGGTGTGGGGTGTGTGCATGTGAAGGGAGAAAGAAGGGTGTGGTGTGTGAGCGAAGAAAGGCTTGTGGGGGAGACTTACCCAATGACTTGCAACTTTCCTTGCCAGCTTCCCATTGACTTTGCTTGGAGGAACCTGGCAGGGAGGGGCGCAAATGGCAATCACGTGATCAAAGGATGCTGCAACTGGTTGTAAGTGCAAGCTGGTTGCCAGGCACCTGAATTTCGTTCATGTGACCACAGGGGCGCTGCAGTGCTGGAACTTTGAGGACCAGTCATAAGTCCCTTTGTTCAACACCATCATAACTGGTTGCTGAACGAATGGCCATAACTCAAGAACTACCTGTAATATATATGATTAGCAAAACCATGGAACATACTTCTGAACCAACTCTGCAAATGATGCATTATATAACTATGGTTGATAATAAAAACAAGCTGATATCCAGCACAGAGAAAACAGACGAAGAAGGAAGATGTGAAGGCCAAGAGTAAATTGAAGGAATATTAAATTGTTAAATATTTACAGTACTCCCTATAGGTTAGCAACTACAATGTTTTATTTTTTTTTTAAAAAAAGGATGAACAGGGATGTGAAAGAAGGAAGCTGGCATTCAAACACAATAGTCAGGAAGTCCATGCTGGCATAACGTGGAGCTTCATCTGTGTTTCTACACCAGAGAGGGCCAAGGGGGTTAGCAGTACACAGAAGGGAACCCAATGGGTGGTTTGTTCGTGTTGAAGGTTGGGAATTTCCACCTGGCTGCCTGGCTGCCATTGGATGAATCCACAGGGATTATTTGGACTTGAAGGAACAAGGGCCTAGTGCCCTATTCATATAGCCATGGCCCATACCACAGAGAGGCTATAACTATTCCCACTCCTGTAAGTTACCTTGGCTGGAGGCTAGGAGACGAACTATTGGGCAGCAGGTAATTAGTTTTTTACTCTAAATTAGAGTCTATCAAAGGGAACTCAACTCCTAATGATTGAAAAGGCATATACCCATGGATTTCTTGGCAACAATGTGAAAGCGGTTTCCCATTACCTTCTGGGTTTTGTTTTTTTTTCCTTTGCAATGGAGTCTACACTCCTAGGATTTTCTCATGGTCTTTCATCCCAGTACCAACCAGATATGAGCCACCTTAGCCTTTTTAAGACTGGCCATGGACAGCTGTTGTCACTGGGAAACTTGTGGCCTGTGAAGCTCTGGCCCTTTATCAAAAGATGAGAATTTGCTTTAGCTTGGCTATTGCTGTTTGCTTCCTGATCTCCACTGCATTAGGCTGCAAGAAGGAGGCAGAAGATATGAGAACACTTGGTGATGGGGGAATTAGAAGGAGAATGCTTCCCCAGGTGGTTAAAAATGAATCCACCAGAAAAGTAATATGTCAGTGATAGAGCTAGACTAATATTTCCTTATATGGGAGTCTCAAAAGTTGTTTTAGTTTTTGTTTTAGCATGGACATTCAGTCAAATTAGTGCCCACTTGCTGTTTGAAATGATAAACATGAGTTGATTGCCACAATGCAAACTTGTTTACTTCGTCCTTCAACACAAGGGGGGAAATCAACTTGGGAAATTGTTATTTACATCAGGCTTATGGATAAATAAATGTATATAGTAGGAGCATAATTTTTCATGGATAACATGGGCAAAAAGAGTACAGGAGAGAAATCACTATAAAGACCCAAAAACTGAAGTGCTCAACAGTCAGTGATGGGCTTTGGAGAAATGTGTAAGTCCTGCAGCTGTGGAAGGTGATGTATCCCATTGTCAATAGTTCTTCTGGTATGTTGGAAAAGAAAATTCAATGTGTGGAGACAGAAGGACACACACACTCTCTCTCTCTCTCTCTCTCTCTCTCTCTCTCCAAGCTAGCATAGAGCTACCAAATGGAACTGTAAAGAACTGGACAATGACTAGGTCATGGCAAAGAGTGAGTTTTCTGAATCTCTTTGCTACTATCTAGTGACCATCTAGATATCTGTAGCTCCATACTAGAAGATCAGGTACAATTGTACAGTAAATGCACACAAATAACTCATTCCCTGTCTGAACAGAATAGCCATACATTAACATAGATTTTCTCAACATCAGATACAGAGAATGGACATGAAGGAAACCTCTCCCAAACTTAGAATTAGTTGTGTAAATTTGTAATTGCCAATAAAGCATGAAGTAAGCAACTGTTCATACTTAATGTATACAGCATTCTTTTTTTAAGCTTTGAAGCCAAAGTTTGAATTTGTCTGACATTTCAAACATTGACAATCTTTTATATCAGCACCAAGGCTTTGGCCCTATCTGCTAACATTATTTTAGTTTTATTTTATTTCATCTCGTCCCTACACTGTTCTTCCAGAGGAGACTAAAACAATTCACAAAAGTGTAATAAAAACCTTCTTAAATAAACCCTATGGCTCATTCAGTCCCAACAGATATCTTTAATCCATTCCTTTTCTTTTACAACCCTCTCTTCTCCTTTTGCATCTCAGAGCTTACCTTCTTGGACCTCTTCACATTGTACAGTATTTCTGCTATTAAAACTGCCATTGCCCACATTCTGTTTCTTCAGGATGTTTGGTTCAGGTTATGTGCCAAGGTTCATGCTCACCACATACATTTGGATGAAGAATTTGGAGCCCCACAGGAGGAGCCGTGTCAACAGCATCAGCTAGCTATAACCTCTGCTTTCACACTGAGCTAGGGAGTCTCTGAAGCTTCCTTCAAAGTCCTCCGTTTCTATGGAAACCAACTCCTTGCATTATGACATAGCAATGGCTTGAGAGGCTGGGCCAGGAGCCACTAATGAAAGTGGTGAGATAGTTAATGAACAAAGAAAAGAAGTGAGTTAAGGAATGTAAATTAGGAGGGGTCCAAGATGGCAGCAGCAATTGCACAACCAAAGCCCCACCTCTTTTTTGTGTGTGTTTGTGTGTTGTGGCCACCACCTTGACTTTTTTGACACACACATCCCCACAGAAACCCCTGCCCTACCATGTCTGGTCATTTTCCTTTTCAATTTCTTTACAACATTTCTCCTTATGCTGTCCCCACAGCCTTCTTCCCCACAGATACCTTGCCTCTCCCCCCTTTAGCCATTGTTGTTTCTTATACATGGCAAAGTGTTAAAGGAAAACTGGAAGGAATTATTTTTTCCCACTTTTTATTATAAAGCAGCAGAGGCTGAATATTTTGGACAAGTCCCTTCTGTTGGTTTCCAAAATAT